TCTATCACTCTATTTTGAAAATCAATAAAGGAGAATATTTGTAGTTCGGAGTTAAATTAGGGGTCCTTGATGCTGTCTTAGCTTGCTTGCTTTTTTGCAGACGATTCATTACCCAAGCTAGGGGTAAAGCTCTGAGCACTGATGTTACCTAGTTTGGATGAAACATCTGCAAAAAAAAAAAAAACTCAGAGAGTAAGTACCAAGGACCCCTCATTTTGAAAATAGAAACCAAGTTTTAAACTTAGAACTTTTCAGTGCAAAATTCTACATCATTAGTCTTTTTGAATGTGTCTGGTTAAACTGTGTACTGACAAGTTCTCAATACTTTGAAGATTAGTAAAAAATTTGGAAATCTAAAAAGTCTAATCTCAAAAACAATGTACTTGAAGGCTGTGCAATGCCTATAAAGCTTTTTCTCTTACATCCATGTTTAGACAAAGGCTGGGTTTATTTAATATGGTTTAGCACATTGTATGAAGCCAGATATTGTGTTGAATAGCCTAATTAAGGTTTTAATTTTCTGAACTGGATCTCTATAGCTTTTTAAAATAAGTAATTGCACAACAAAGCACAAAATTGATAGCTGATTTTGGAAGTATTCTGAAAGGGGAAGCTGACAACTTTCCTTTTTATCTCAATCTTGTTCTTAAGGATAATTCCTAATAAGATTTTATTGATTTTAAAGATTAGTAGAATACTTTATTGGTCAAGTGTGATTGGACACACAAGGAATTTGTCTTGGTGTAAATACTCTCAGTATACATAAAGAAAAGGTACATTCATTAAAAATCAAGAATCATAAAGTACAACACTTAATGACAGTCATAGGATACAATCAACAATCAAATCATACCAGGAAACAGTATAAATCGTAAGGATACAAGCAACAAAGTTTCAGTCCTACAATCACAAGTGGGAGGGGATGGGTGATAAGGAGTGGTGAGAAGATTAACAGTAATAGTAGTGTATACTTCGTAAATAGTTGAACAGTGTTGAGGGAATTATTTGTTTAGCAGAGTGATGGCTTTCGGGAAAAAACTGTTCTTGTGTCTAGTTGTTCTGGTGTGCAATGCTCTATAGCATCGTTTTGAGGGAAGGAATTGAAACAGTTTATGTCTGGGATGTGAGGGGTCTGTAAATATTTTCACAGCCCTCTTTTTGACTCATGCAGTATACAGGTCATCAATTGAAGGCAGATGGGTAGTAATTGTTTTTTCTGCAGTCCTAGTTATCCTCTGAAGTCTGTGTCTGTCCTGTTGGGTTGCAGAACCAAACCAGACAGTTATAGAAGTGCAGATGATAGACTCAGTAATTGCTCTGTAGAACTGTATCAGCAGGTCCTTGGGCAGTTTGAGCTTTCTGAGTTGGCGCAGAAAGGACATTCTTCGTTGTGCTTTTTTAATGACATTTTTGATATTAGGTGTCCATTTTAGGTCATGTGATATAATAGAACCTAAAAATTTGAAGGTCTCTATTGTTGATACTGTATTGTCTAGTATTGTAAGAGGTGGTAGTATAGGAGGGTTTCTTCTAAAGTCTACCACATTTCTACGGTTTTGAATGCGTTCAGTTCCAGATTGTTCCGGTTACACCACAAGGCAAGTTGTATAACTTCCTGTCTGTATGCATATTCATCGTTGTCTTGAATGAGACCAATCACTGTTGTGTCATCAGCAAACTTCAGTATTTTAACAGATGGATTGTTTGAGATGCAGTCATTGGTGTATAGGGAGAAGAGAAGTGGGGAAAGCACACAGCCTGGGTGGGTGGGGAGGCTGTGCTGATTGTACAGGTATCGGATGTGATTCCACCTAGCTTCACCTGCTGCTTCCTGTCTGTTAGGAAGCTTATGATCCACTTACACGTGTGTTCAGGTACTGCTAGTTGGTTTAATTTACTTAGAAGAATGTCTGGAATGATGGTATTGAATGCTGAACTGAAGTCTACAAAGAGGACCCTTGTGTAGGTATTTGAAGATTCAAGTTGGTGTGGGATGTAATGCAGAGCCATGTTAACAATTTTATTGATTATAAAATTCAATATTGAGTCATTTGACTTGGGATGGTGAAATTACTATATTCTCAGTAAAATATTTATTTATTTTCATTGATGAAAGATAATTAAAGCTTCGTAAATTGACTTTAATCTAGAGTTATAAAATACATTTTGTGTGAATTTTAATTAAATTAATTTTTCATCAGGTATATCAAGTAACTATATATCAGACTGAAGACAGTGATATAGATTCATTTGATGAAGACCCTGAAATTTCACTAGCAGTAAGTAAAATCTTGATTTGAGACAAATTGCACTTTTGAATTCTCCAGATTACTTCCATTTCCTTCACTTGATATTTTCAGAGCGATTTGCTCTGTTCCCAAACGTTCGATAAGCGACCAAACACATTTTGTCAGGATGGAGAAAAGATAAGAGACTCAAAACTTTGTGTGCTTGCAAAAGGGGCGGTTTGAAATGAAGCGATTAGGTTCCCTTTCAAAGCGTCCCCTTTGCAAGCAAAGAAAACTTTGTTTCCTCTGCACCAGGGGTCTGCAACCTTAAAACACTCAAAGAGCTATTTGGACCCATTTCTCACAGCAAAACAGTATTTGTGATGTGCCAAGGAGGCTGATATACGTCAAGAGCTTGGCCTGTTGCAGTTGTGGGCAAGCAGAGAATGGGACCAGGGGCTGGGGGACAGCGGTAGCTATACTCCCTTTCCCATCGGCTCATGCACTCATCACCTCCTGCACTTAAAAAAATAAGACCTCCCTGAAAATAAGCCCAAGTGCTTATTTTCAAGCCCAAGTGCTTATTTTCAAGCCCAAGTGCTTATTTTCAAGACTGAGTCTTATTTTCGGGGAAACAGAGCTAGATACTGCATGCATGCCGCTACATACATACATACATACATACATACATACATACATACATACATAATTCAAGAGGTTAAAATGCAGATTGATTTCAGCTTTAATTCAGAGTGTTATTTCAATGAATTGGAGAGTTACAATCTATTTTCAGGTGCCAGTTATAGTTGTATATTTTTCTCTAATAAATACTAATATAACAACCTAATTATAGAAAAATGTATTTCATAAATCTTTTTAAATTTTTAAAATTATTTTGTTATATAGAGAGTAATAAGAGTATACTTTAGGAAAGAATTGATCCTTTTTCCCAACCACTGGAAAGATAATCATTTCCCTAATAATGTGATTACATGGATGTAACAAAATTGGGTATATCACCAAATCAATCTGCAGGAAATCAAGTATCTCAGACAGCAGAGTGCGTTACAATAAATATGGCACCAAGTCTGAAATCCTGTCAGGATTCTCTCCTGAAATAATATTGGCAAAAACGTATCAATTTTAAATCGCTTTTCCTTAAGCATAACTATTCTGCGGCTAAAGCCAAAGTACTGTGAATAGGTGTACCCTAAAGTATATTAAGCAAAATGTAATTTTGTTCCAGTCATGGACATTTTGCCTTTCAGAATATACCGGTATTCACTTTGTATCTTACCAGAGGCCAGAGTATCAGGCTTTATATACTGTATTTATATATGTGAAAGCATTCAACATTATTAGCCCTTCCAACATCTTTCTTGATTACCATGCATCTATGGCATAGTGCCCTTGCTTTGACTTTACATGTCTATTTTGTACAAATAAGGATTGCAATAATGAGAGAGGGTAGTTTATAAGTTTTGGCTGCAAATATGGCCCCTTCTAAGATCTTCTTATAGCCCATCATGTGTACAAAGAACTTTATAGTTTCTTTTATTTTGATAAAGCATGTCAATTAACACAAATTATTTCTATCTAATTCACCAAAGGATTATTGGAAATGCTCAAAATGCAATGAAATGAACCCACCTCTTCCATCCCATTGCCCAAGATGCTGGACTCTTCGGAAGGATTGGCTTCCTGATAAAAAGACTGAGACAGCTAAGAAGAGCACATTTCTAAATCCCTCATCATTATATACTGAGGAGGGCTTTGATGTTCCTGACTGTAAGAAAGGAAAAATTAATGAGGATAAGGAAGAAGAAACTGCAGAACAAAGCCCTGAATCTCAGGAAAGTGAAGCATATTCACAGCCATCTACATCTAGCAGTATGCTTTGTAGTAGCCAAGACGACTATAAAGAATCTGAGAAAGAAAACAGTGAAGACAAAGAAGAAAGACTGGAACTGGGGCAGCCTGTCTCCAGTGTAGAGCCTTGTGTCATATGTCAAACAAGACCTAAAAATGGTTGCATAGTGCATGGAAGGACAGGACATTTAATGTCATGTTTTGTATGTGCAAAAAAGCTGAAGAAAAGGAACAAACCTTGTCCAGTCTGTAGGCAGCCTATTGAGATGATAATACTAACTTATTTTTGCTAGCTGCAGTACAAGCGACCGTTCCTATATGAAGAATAAGTAACACAATGCAATTTTGAATGTTTACAGGCATATATTTATTTTCCAAAAGAGAGAAATTTTTAAACATTGCACCATCAACAATGTGATCATAACATTCTCCGGTTTTGTTAGAAATCTGCCAAAACAATAAGCATATAATGAAGACTGATAATTCAGAGTTTATTCTTTATATTTAATATAATGAAATCTTAATACTCTTGTAGGGGCCACAGAAATAAAGTATGTATTATGGTCTAAATCTGAAAATGATTTACCTACCTAAGCTGATTCAAACACTGTAGGCCAAACACAGCGGATACAATGGAAAGTGCTTAACAACGATTTAAGTAATCCTACTAGTTGTTTTCCAGGTTTCCTCCTCCAATATTTTTATTGCATCTGAGTGGCTATTGGCTAGCAAGCTAAGATTATCTCAAAAAGAACTTAAAGCTGACATGAAAAAAATTAGTTCTGACAGATCCCTTAATGCAGATTAAAACAAGAAGGAGGCAGTTGTTTCGGGAACAAGTTTTACAATCTGTTCCCAATGTAAAAGCACTCTACCTTTGCCTCAATGAATCCAAAGTTTTGGTAGAGTTACGTTCTTTAGGCTACCATACGTGTATTTCTTTGGTGAAATTATAAAGGATGACTTACATTTGTGCTGTAGTCAAGTATTATGGCAAGAATTCTGTTTAAAAGGTTTTTAGAACTAATTCTAAAAGTCACTGAAATAAGATGTAGCATCCCAAGTACTTACTGATTGTAACATTCACAGCAAGCAAATAGTATACAATGAAGTGTGAGTTGCAATCTATAATTTACAAATAAACAACCTTTGCTTTTGTTTATCCTCCATATTTTATTCTTATATAGTAATTCAGTTCACAACAGTAATAATTTATCTGTTTCCAGTCTTTTTTTGGTAGTGGGGAGAGGCAGCAATGTGTAATGTTGATTCTTTTCTAACTACAATCTAAAGATTGTAATGGTGATCAATTTCCTTGAAGTCATATTTTCTAAAATGAGATCTGACAAAGAAGAGCCTCCACATGGTGTACGTCTTGGGCTATTTTTGTGTGTGTGTGTGTACATAAAATAGTATTTTCCCATTTGTATTAATTTTGGGGCAAAATTCTGCATCAGTACTGTATTTTTTTCTACCTGGAATGTAAAAATAGTTTGTCGTTGAAATATTTTCCCTAATTTAGAGTTCTCTTGACTTCAGAATTCTAAAATGTGATTCCAAGGTGAGGCAAGGAAAGGTAAAAGCAACAGATCATCCTTTTTTATATAGTACCATATCCAAGAGCATTTGTTATAGATGCTTAATAGATACTAATAAAATAATCTCATTGGCTCAGGTTGCTCAGAATAGGTTCCATGTGTGTACAGATACCCTAAACAATGGAAAAAAACATTTTTTTCAAGCAAATGTTTGCATTCATTTGTCTTCATTAAAGAGAAAAGACTGACCAGGTAAAATATGCATTGGTCTCTTCTGACTTCTCATTTTTATCCCCAAGATCCAGTTGTATTAGTATAGTAATTCTATTTTAAGTGAAGGGCAAAGGGGATGTTTCATTAAATTAATAAATAATTGTACCACTGTGACCTGTGCACATTTTCCTATTCTCAAAGGTTGAAACAGAATGCAGTTAATTCAAAGGCTTTATTATTCAGAATATCTCAATACAATTTAAAATCTATAGTCAAGTACTGTTAAAAACCAAACTTAATATAAAATTTTACATGCCTACAGATATATATATATATATATATACAAAAATTGGAAAATAAAACACTGTAACAGTAAATGTACTAACACTGTTTGAATAAAGTGGTTTCAATGGGCATGGAACAGGCTTTTTTGAGGTAGATCCCATGGAGAAAATAAAATCATATTCATAGGCACTGAGTTTTTCTGCACCGTTTGGTAAAACCACTTTCTGTTGTAATGACATAAATCCAGGGAGGGTTGCCTGAAAAACAAATTTAATCTGTCAGTATGTTTACTATTCTTGAGTATAACTTGAAGTTCCATTATCAAAGTAAATCTTTGCTCCATGTGCAGAATGCTCATTTCATACCCTAAAGTCTGAAATACAAGTTACTTCAAATCCCTCAGATTAATACATTTTAAGGGCCTGGGACAGAGTATACAAAACACAAAAGTATGCTGGATAAGAGTTATAGTACTTACATTGAGAATGTAGACTCCAGGCAGGAGGAGAAGGTAATATTCACCATTTTTATTGGTTACATAAGGACATATATGCATCCTTCCTTGAACTTCCACTATCACATTTGCAATGGGTTGGTTCTTTTGATTTAGAACACGGCCTTTTACACCTATAAGGAGAAAATGAAAGGGTGTTGTTTTTCTTTATTTTTTTTTCAGCCTGTGATTGAGAATTTTCTTTGCTACAAGTGAACATTGTAATTCGGTAATGACTTTGCAGGAACAACTGTGACCGAAGGGCAAATTCTTGGCTGTGGCTGCACAATAGAACAAACCTAAATCATCAATAAATACACAAATACATATTCCAAAGTATCTCAGACAGAGTTAATGCAGATAATAGTATTTCTCTGTGGTGGTGTTACTGTTAACTCCCATTCCCTGAAATCTGATCAGCTTGTTGGCTTTAGGAAAAGTATTACAAATAGGATTGTTTCAGAGGACCTTTGATTAATACACTAGATATTGCCATTTATATTTATTGCTCTTCTGTAAATCATTTTATGATTTAATACATGATTTTAGTTTAGGGAACTACATGTTTTATTGTTAGGTAATTTGAAATTGTACTATACATGTTTTCATTATGATGATTGTAACCCACTAAGAGTCTGGAAAAATCATGAATGAATAATCTTTTCCCTGGAAAGCACTGCACCAGGTGACTCAAGTGATGCTGTCTATGCCCTCTCATGTTGCCTCAAGGCTGACTAGATTTGGATGGAGGACAACAGATTTTGACTTAAACTTGATGAGATCAAGTGGATTTGGGTGCATCAAGCCTCAAGACTTCGGTGTTTGTCAATCTTAGTTCTGGATGTGGTTGTGCATCCCTGTTCAGATCCAGTTTGCAATCTAGGAATTCTCCTTGATTCCTGCCTTCTGCTCAAAGAGAAGGTGGTGAGCATGACCAGGAGAGCTTTTGCATAGTTCCGGTTTGTGCACCAGCTGCGACCTTTCCTAGATTATGACTCCCTGTGCTTATCTGGACTAGTTCGATGCATTCTACATGGGGCTACTCAATTTGGAAGCTTCAACTGGTACAAAGTGCAGTAATGGGATCAGTCTTTAGGGTGCCTATGATGGCCCATATTATACCTGTGCTCTGTGAACTTCACTAGAACCGGTCTGCTGCTGAGTACATTACAAGATGGTGTATTCTCATTGTGTTCTTTTTATTTAATTGCTCTATTAGCTTGTTGCTCTGTTTACCCTCTTCATTTATCCCTTTTTATTATTGCAAGCCCACAGCAAGTCAGGCAGCAAATAAATTTAACAAACAACAATAATGATAATATTAAGCATATACGCATTAAAATGAATTGAGCATGTAGAATGAATAACAGCAACAAGACAATATCAATGTACTTTTTGGAAAAAATATACTGCATATTCACATGAATTATAATTTGTAATTGTAAATGTATATTTATTATTCAGTCATTCAGCCTCTTCTGATTCTATGTGATTAGATGGACATTATTTTGCCAGGATGGTTTGTCAGTACTGGTGGTCATCAACTTACAAGATACAACTTACACTTAATAATGGTTCCAAGTTATGACAGCTTCAGAAAAAGTTATTTTCACCTGTCCTCAAAGTTAAGATGCTCCCACAACCCCAGTGGTTACATGATCACAATTCGGGAGTTTGGCAACTAGTTGCAACCTTCCCAGCCTGTTTCTCACAAGCAGTGTTAATTGGGGGTGGTAGATTTGCTTAACAATATTATTATCAGTGACAATTCTTGTCGAAACGACCCAACAAATGTAAATAGTCCTTTCAGTAGTTTATTCCACAAGATTTACAGTATCAGACTCCAATAAGTTAAAAAGAGTAGAACTGACTTACCTAGATGAATTTGTTTAATGTATTCAATCAGAGCAATTTTATTGTCATCCCAGAAATCTTGAATCTTATCTTCTGAGGGATAGTGACAACATGATAACTCCAAAGTAATGTCAAAGCACTGTCCCCAAACATAATTATAATCCTGCATGCTACCTAAAGTAAAATGTTCATTTGCATCACTGAAAGATCAGTCCAAAAATAAACAAGCATATTATTCTCCTGATCACTTCCATATTGCTTCTCATCCATCAAAATGTGCTCTTGATCTTCTGCATCATGAATGAGGCTGGACAACACCAACACTGAATTTATCTGCAGATGTCACCATCAGGTTTTTGCAACTCCAAATAATTATAATAATGCTAATTATTAATTTTATTGCTGCTATTGTCCAGTCACTGCTTCTGCTTTAAGGATTCACAAATAACTGCTGTGAACTGCTACTGTCAGGTGGGGCAAACTCTATAATTTGTGTCTCCTCCCTATTACACTTGATTTCATACACTTTCTAAACCTTAAAAAACTTGTGTAATTAGGTGTGAACAGCATTTTTTTCTAGTTGATAGCAATCAACCATAACACTGTAATTATTCTGATTGCACCCAATAGATATCTACAAATGTATCCACATTTGCATGTGGAGACAACTAAAGTTGATGCAGACAATAGCAATATATATATTTCAAAAATGTCTACATTCTTAAGTAAGACTTGACATCTACAATTCTATTCAAACAAAGGTAAGAATTAAAATGCCTTTTTATGTAGCAAATCTGAAGTTAAATTGAGGAATGTGGAAATTTAAAGAATTGTGGTAGTCAGGAGAAAAGAAGAACAACTTCAGACAGAAGAACTTCAAAGACTACAAAGAAAGAATATGTCCCACATGAGGATGGACTTGCTATTAAGACACATCTGGCTCAAGGTTTCAAGCATGCTAGCAAATTACAAAAGGCTACACTCTTAGTAATAGTGATAGCTGTGGTATCATGGGGTGATAGACAATGAGAACAGCGCATTACTGTTTTAGCCTATTCATACCTCTTTTTGTTGGTGTAACATATCACGTAAGATCAGGCATACAAAATGACATCACTGCTAAATATAATGCTAAAAGAATACAAATAATGTTGAATGCAATTTAGATGTCAGTCTGAGATGTTTTAGCCAGTGTATTTATGCAACCAAATGTATATTGAAACAAATCCAAACAATTTAAGATGCATGAAGCATCTAAACAGTTCCCCATTCTTCCTTATTTCCATCTTTGGCCTTTATGTTTTTAGCATAAAATTAATCCATATTGGATTCCATATTAATTTCAACATTCATTACTATGAGTTCTTCAAACTCTTTATGAATGACAAATATCTTAAAATCTATAAGCATTATACTATCAAAGAAACAGAAGAGGCACAAGGAACGAATGGAAAATTGTACCTTTCACTATGTACCAGTGATATCCATTTGTAATACCATCTTTAAAGTAATTCATATCATCACACACAATCTCTTTATGCATTGTGCGATGGTTGTTAGCATATGTGCTTGCAAGATGAACAAAAACATCATCGTCCACTGTTTTGCTAACACCATTTGCATCAACTGTAACTGTAGAAAGAAAGTGGTTGCAATGAAATTCATATTAATGTTTAGTCAATTTAATGAATAAATATACAAATACAGGTAATAATTAGAACTCCTTTCCCAGGTCTTCCACAGACCATAGAATTTTCAGTTTTCTCCTACAAGGACAAAAAGATGATTGTACTTAGACAGAGACAGTGTCTTAAAACAGCTGGTGCCTCTTCAAATTTGAATTTTTACACCAGAGGTAAATAAAAATATTTACCAGAGGTAAATAAAAATATTTGGAGGGATGAAATATGAGATGGATCCTTGGATCTCAAAGTCCATGCCATTTTACACCCCAAGAATAGAATCACAAATATTTTGTGTCAACCATTGATTTTCAATAATCTGTTCACAGTTTACATTTTTCTTTGAGTGCTCTCATTTCTTCTTTTAAACTATCATATAGTAGTTATGCTGATGACATCCAGATGTTATTCTCTATTCTGATTATAAATGATATGGCATGATCCTCCCTTTTCTGTTGCCTTCCCAGTTGAATTTCCAGTTGAGTCTATTTCTCACCAGCTTAAACTAGATATGAAGATAATTAAGTTTGTCTCTTATCCTGATCACCCTTCTCCCATTTCTTTTACTTTTCAGGACTGTCAGCTGTAGTGTTACTAATGGTGCAAGATTTGGATGTTCTTATGAAGGAGAAATTTTATCTAAAACCTTTGATTGATAAAGTCACAAGAACCTGCAATGTTTATTTTCTGAATGTCCGGAGAATTTATCCATTTCTTACTGTTGAAATGGCCATACAGTTCATGCCTTGGTAATGTCTCATTTGAACTAACTGGCATGCTTTGTTCTCCGTTCTTTATGTGACTCTAGATTCTAGAACAATACAATCAATTATCCTAGGACCTTTTCTGATTTACCATACTTTTTTTCCATGGATTTCTCCACTGACTGGATATTTAGGAGTTTTACTAGTTAAAACTTCTCTTGTTGCCTTTCGGGGCCATGATATAGGAAACCTCCATTATTTGACTAAAGTGCATATTCCTGTGCATCCAGCTTAATCATGCAGTTCAGGGTTACTTACTTTTTTCATATAACAGATTGATACCATTTTAATCTGCATCAACAGGACAGCTTTTCAGTAATGAGAAATTTAACAACTCTGTCTTTTTCATCAGTCAGACCCTACGTTAAGTATTGTTTCTAGTTCTGGGCACCACATTAAAACAAAGAAATCGGAGAAATTAAAACAGTTTTTTTTTCAAACAACAACAACAACACAACAGGAATGCTCCAGGAATTGGAAACAAAGTCTTATGTGGAGAGATTGAGGGGACTGGATATATCTGATTGTGAAAAAAGGAAAATAATTAAGTGGTGCAGAGAATGTCAAAATATATTTTTCTAATTCCACAGTGCAAACCTTGAGTTAACATTCATAAGCCACAAGAAAGAAAAGTCCAGCTGAATGTTTTCCTAAGTTTCCTTCAGAAAAACTTACTCAGGGTAAGAGTAGTTCAATTGGGAAAATGATTACTGAGAGAAATAGTGAGCTGTTTTTCATCATGCATGTTCAGATGGTAGCTAACAACAATTTGTTAGGGAAATTTTAATTTGGATAACTGTATTGTGCAGGAAATTAGACTTCCAGTTCTGCTGCTCTTTTGCCTTCCTGGTAATGGTGGGAAGTGTTTTCCACAACGAGAATATCACAGCAGATCCTCACTCTTCTTTTTCTACCAGCATTCTTCTTATAGTCACTTCTTGTACAATTCACATTTTTACTTTTATAATCTGGCTGTTGCAGTAAATTTTCCCTTTTGTCAGTTCAGGATGAAGAAAAAACTCCTGTATTTTACTGGAAATTTATCTTGGTTTATTACCTATAGCTATGATGGTGAACCTGTGGCATGCATGCCAGAGGTGGTAAACAGAGCCCTCTCAGTGAGTACATGCACCATCGCCAGTTGCTCTTCTGGTTTCTGGCACACACAGGTGTGCCAGCCAGCTGATCTTTGTTGGCACCAGAGTGCCGGAAAAAGGCCTGAAAAATGGCCAAAAAACAGGCCATTATTTGGGCCTTTTCAAGCCATTTTCAGGCTCTGGGCCATTTTTGGCACAAAAATGACTTGTAAATGACCCCAAAACAGCCTGAAAATGGCCTAAAATAGCCAAAAAGCAGGCTGTTTTCCAGACCATTTTCTGGGCCATTTCAGGTCATTTTCCAGGCTGTTTCAGGCTGTTTTTCGTGTCAAAAACTGCCCCAAAAATGGCAAAAAAAACCCAGGTATTTGCACACCGGCCAGGTGGTCTTCAGTTTTCTGGCACTCTGGAATACACACATGCATGTGTATGCACATGCATTCCAGTTTGGGCACTTGGTGCTGAAAAGGTTCTCCATCACTAACCTATATGATAGTGAGCTGTTATTATAAGATGGATTTCATGTGACATATTCCATTAAATGTGACATTTTAAAAAAATCTCATAATTCAGACTGAAATGAATATGCACATGCAGATAAAAAGTTAGTTTTCTAACTGTTCCCTGCCTTGGAATTGATTTGAATTAGATAAATCATGGACTGGATTAACAGAGCCTAAGTTAGTTTGTTAAACTGAATGACTGTTTATGCTTTTTAGTGTTCCTTTTTTTTTTTTTTTGCCTACCACCTTGAGTCTCTGGTAGTGGATGATCTATAAAAAACATGCATAAGTTAACAAATAAATGTGCTGGTGAGTTAATAGATAAATTAAAGTACCGTATATGTGTGTATGTGTGTGTGTGTGTGTGATCCAAAGCTAACTTATTTTGATTTAGTATAATACTTGCTGTTAATACATTCATTAATTTATTTTGAGATGAGGATTATGTAACTTTAACTAAGAATTGAGAACCGTTTAATGTAGTATGCTTATGGTCATCCTAGTATTAGCTTACCACGATTGCCATTATCAAAGGGGTAACTTGCAACCAGTGCTCCACCATGCAGATTAGCAGAAAGAACAAACATTCCAGTATTTATCCATTTCATAACTGCTTTAGTCTCTGGCTGGATAATTTGATTATTGGTGGTAAAATGATCAGGAAAATTCCTGTTCAGATCTTTTCTATTAGCATTGTACCTTAAAGAGATAACATTGTTATTATATAATCTTTAACATACTTTTTGAATATATGAGCTCAGCCATAAAAATTGGATCACAGAGGCTAGGCTAATGCTAACAGAATTGCAGGAAATAGTAACAAATAACAGTACCTGCACTGGCTTTACCAGGAAAGGTGTCTAAAAGTATCTTGATGATTAATCAGGATGGTCTGTTAACAGGTAGATAAGGAAATAACAATTCCAAGGAAACAGAGCAAAGATGAGTAGATAATAAAATAAGTAAATCTAAGGAACAAAGAGATGACCTGTAGGGAGAGTAAACAAGGCATAAGCCTGTAGGAAGAGCAATAGAAACCATCATCTCAGAGGAACCAGGGAAAGGGGATTGTTTTAATCAAAGGAAAGTTAAAGACCAGCAGAAAAGTTTGTGCTAACCTGGAATGAAAGATGGACATGGTTATGAGAGGTATTGATAAAGGATGATATGAGACTAATTAATTCAGAGAGGCACATAAGTTTTGAAGAAGTAACTAAAGGTGACCCATGCATTAGAAGAGGAATGATAAATATTCATTCTTGTGGGTTGAGGGCAGGATTACATGAAATCCTAAAACTTCTTTGCAAAAACTCATAAACTACCATTCCCTCGCCCCCAGCCTGCTTTTAAATTAACAAAATCTTCCTTATTACATATAACTATAACTTGATTTAACGATATGATAGTTAAGAACTGAACCTACAAAATTGTTCTTCAGTTAAGTGTATTATGGGTTAAGTAACATGTTGAAAACATACCCAAGACAATCCTCATTATATCCTAGGTTGCTTTTTTCTTACCTGCCAATTGTGGATGCACACTGAAGCATAACTGATGCTTCAAAACCATCAGGGTTCATTGAAGGCATGATGTGTATCCGGGTGTTATTAATGAGCTTTGTAATGATTGGATCGTGTTGATCACTTTCCACCAAATATTTAATCAAATGGAGGAGCAGTTCCCGCCCAATAGCCTATGTCGGGAAGCAGAGGAATAAGTACTTGAACTAAATTGACAATAAGAGGCAGCAAATCAATATTAGTTGGACAAAAATCACATGATACAGAAATAAGACAAAACAAGCAAATAATGTGATAGCTAATATTTTCAACTTACAAATAATCTCCCTGAAAACGGAAGAGTCAGAAAAAAACATGGGCTATCTTATTTACATGAAACTGTCTCTATTACCACATACAGAGAAATGCCATAATGCATGTACTTAGTTAATGGATATATATGTATGGACACAGCATGCATATGTACAAAAACAGAATTTTTTAAAAAAATACTTAATTTATGACCAGACTAATTAATTCAAGGGTATTCTTCATATAATCATACAAATACATCTTAGATTCAGTGGATTCATGTAATGTGATAAAGTTTGGTTTAAGCATGATCAGCCAAATTCAATTGAGTTATCATATATACTAAACTATATAGGTAGTCCTTGACTTATGACCACAATTGAGCCCAAAATTTCTGTTGCTAAGAGACACTTGTTAAGTGAATTTTGCCTCATTTTATAACCTTTCTTGACACAGTTGTTAAGTGAATCACTGTAATTATTAGTAATATGGTTATTAAGTGAATCTGGCTTCCCCATTGACTTTGCTTGCTAAAAGGCTGCAAAAAGGGATCACATGACTTTGGGTACTGCAACCATCATAAATATGAACCAGTTCCAAAGCATCTGAATTTTGATCATGTGACCATGGGGATGCTGCAATGATTGTAACTGTGAAAAACAGTCGTAACTTTTTCCAGTGCCATTATAACTTTGAACAGTCACTAAAGAACTGTTCTAACTTAAGAACTGCCTGTGATTATGGATTACAAACCACAATAGCTGGAGTCATACAGCTTGCCAAATCAAAAACAAACCATGCAATGGTTTCAGTTACTGAGAGAAACAGATTTCATAACAGAAGTCAGCCTGTTTTCCTTAACATCAGCTTTTAATGGGATTCCATGCTTGAGAACGCAACTACCAGTATATGCATATCTTACATTATATTTTTGGTAACAATAAATATACTATTATTGACATTTAACAACCAGTAGTCATTAAAAAAAGTGAGGATATTTTTATTTTTCTTCCTAGTAATAATTGCTAACTTTAAACTTAGTTGTTCTGTAATATCAACCCTCAAACTTGCAACAGTAATGAAATCAAGCTAAAGGTTAAGAAATTATTGTCCATTGTCCATTTCTGAATGTATTCTAGATTTCTTTATGTGAATAAAATATTCAAGTCCTTGCCTGTAGGGCTCAGAATCATTAACTGCCCCACAAGAGACTAAAAAAAATTAAATAAAATCCAATATTGTTTCTTCAAGATCATACTGGGCAAACCAAAACTGCCACATTCATTGTATCCCAGAATGTTGTTTTTATTAGAACAGTTAAAATCTTGTAATCATGTGTAATTTTGACCAAGTACTTCTGATAATCATTTAAATTACTAGAAAGAAAAAATAATAAGAGAACATAAGAAAAAATATATAGTCTAATAGGACAAGTAAATATAATATATTACAGTATTATTAAAGGCAAATTGCTATGCACTTAATACCAATTACAAATTCAATTAAAACAAAAACAAAAGAAGTCAATAATTAAATCAGGCCAGAATGCATAATATATATTTATTTGTAAAATTTATTGGCTGCCCATCTTACCATAAGGTAACCATTTAAAATAATACCATAATGCCTGAACAAATACAAAAGGATAAGTTTCTAGATGAAGCAATTTAGGGTTAAAAGTTTACAATTATTTGTATTGTATGGATACAGAGACCAAGAAAGATAATAAAAAAGCAGAAACATCCAATAAATTCTAGTAGTTAAAAATAAGACAAAAGAATTAAAGTGGCTAATGACCTAAAAGGCAAAAATAAAGGACATTGATTTGGATTCATATTGTATAGATTGTGACTTAGATATAGAACACTATTCTGACTAAAAGGAACTTCCTTGATGGACCTGTTCAGTCTGGTCTGGAAGCCAGATACGCTTGTAGTTGTTTAACCCCTTAGCAGTCTACAGCATTGTAACTATATTTCTCCAGCAATTTTTGAGCCCATTTTGGGTGCAGAGAAAGAATGTGGGCTACAAAAGTACATAAAAATTACAATTTATACATTGTTTGTTTTTTCCTCAGGGTTCAATGAAGTATCAAATAATAGCACTTTGTTAAATAGTTGTTTAATCACTTTGCCACTTTTTCTCACTTAATCCCTTTTCCTAAACTAGCCAGCCAAAATACCCTCCCTGCTTTTAACCAATATTGGGTGACATTTTTCATATTTGATACACTGGATGGTAATAATGGCAATTTAAGTCCAGCATACCTGAAGGGACTAGGTAGAGAGAGCGACTTCCTGTATTGAAAATTCCCAGGACTCCTGTATCACTGGGACAACCTACGGCATAGTTAAAACATTTAACTGTTATTGTTTTTTTTTTATTTCTGAATTTTAATAGTTATCCTTCACTCCATTGTCACACATATTGCTACAAGTCAAAGTGCAATGGGGATCTGAATAGTTGCTTATCTAGTATTTTTTAGAATTAGTAAGGAAAAATATATATCAATTTTTTACTTTATTCTCAGATGACCAACTGACTTGTTACCATGATACTACATTATTCGTTGTATTAAAAAATGGGGATTTCATGCACAAGCACTCCTTTATGAATAAATATGCTTCAATATAAAAACATATTAAACAACTGGATTATTTATTACATTTATTTTGTATAACTCAAGGCAGTGTGTATAATGCTCCTTCCTCCTACTTTCCCAAGAAAACCCTTCCAAGGTAGATTGGACTAAGAAATAATTGACTATCTCAGTCACTTCCATTCCGAAGAGAGAAGCAGAACTAATGTTCCCCTTGTTTCTAGTCTAGCATCTTAACTATTACACCACTGAATGGCATATTCTCACATCCCTAAATGCTTGAACTCCATACATTTTGCCAATAGGACCAATACATGTTGCAATACAGAGCTAACTAATGTTACTGCTTTATAATTATTATAAACTGAATCGAATAGTGGAGTTCAGCAATATAGCCTTAGTTCAGCAATAAGCCATTTTCCACAGTCCAAGTGGTCTAACTGTTGGGCATTTTAATCCCCTAGTGGTTTTGGTAAATGCCAAGTCTATGCAGAACATGGCCATATCCATCTATGATATGTGAATGAATATACAGCCTTGTTATGGTTTATTGAATCAGGCATGATGAAGATGAAATCCAAAACAAAGCTGGCTACCTGAGTTTTAGGGCCCTCATCAGCTGTGACATCATAAAGAGGCTCACAATGATCAAGCACTGTTCCAGAGGTAGTTAGTTCCTTTGAATGGAATTGTGCCACAAGGAGGATCTTTGGTTGTTGCTGATGTATGAACTACCAGCATGTCTCTGCAAATCCTGAATGTTATGTTATCATTTCCTTAGCTGACTTCAACCTCCATGTTCTGTCATGGCAACTGTCATCCCAAAACATGCAGGCAGGTACACACTTGACCTAGTCTTTGTTTCAGAGCAGATGAGATATGATCTGAGAATGGAAGAAATTACATGTTCCCTTTACCATAATTAGTGCAGTTTTTAGTGCTTCAATAAACTGGACATCAAGGCATTGGGACCATTTGAATAGTCCACCTATGACATCTAGTGGATTGATAGGATTTCATTCTTTGGATATGACTCTCTCAGAGGTATGCATATGTTTGAGGCAAGTTGTCTGGATAGCCTTTCTGTTAATTCCACTTTGTTATTTCCTTTATCATTTTAGAGTTGGGTGGCATCAAAATAGAAACATACTGTACAAACAAATAAGTGAATACTTCCTTTTTGCCTTGTATTCTGTGATTAATATATTCTTATGTTTTGGGCTTAAATGACCGACTGTGGACATTCATTCCGATCAGTTATTTTAATTTTTCTGAGTTGATGTTCAGTACTCACAATAAAGAAGTAATGCTACACTAAGAAAAAGAAGGCATGGCATTGCTTTAGTTTATTCAATTAATACATATGTCTGATCCAATTGTTCCCACTTTGCTGCTTCTCTTTGGGGAAGCAGATCAATACAAACCTTTGGAGCTGAGACAGTTTTTTTCTTTCACCTTTAGATGCCATTATGTTTCTATTTATGAGAGGGGGAATGGAAAAACTATTTGGTTGTTGTAAGGTAAGGCATAAGGAACAGCAGAGATCCAAAATTTGATGTGGACTGCCAGCGGCCACAGGACCATTTATGTTTTCTCCTTATTGATAAACATTACTGAAAGCATATGGCTGGTTTCTAAAATAATTTAAGTATTTTTTAATAATAATGGCCACAAGGATTAAAAAGAATCAGAAATATTTTGATTCTTCAATTTTCTTTGGAATTGTTATGCTCCCCCCCCCCCATTAATCTTTACAGATAAGCTGTCAGGCAGGGGTGGGATTCTACAGGTTTGCACCTATTCACTAGAACCGGTTGTTAACATTCTAAGCAGTTTGGAGAACTGGTTGTTAGAAGAAATTACTGGCCTAATCCTGTAAGGAAGGCAGGAAGGAAACATTCTGGTGTTGCTTACAGAAACTGCCTCTCCGTTAACCCTTATTACATTCTTGGCAGAACTAGACTTCCTGCCTGTGGAACTTCTCTGGGGTTTTTTTCCTCCTTTGCTGGTACTTTGCTTGTGTGAAGTGACCATTCAAACTTACATTGGCATTGAAAAAAGTGACTTATTTTTCATACTTATGACTGTTGCAGCATCCCCACAGTCATGAGAGGCCAGGTGAGGAGATGAGTGCCTTGATGTGAGTGATGCTGAGTTGGCCACACCCAGCCAGTCACATCACAAGCCATGCCCATCACCTAAGCCATGCCCACAGAACCGGTTGTTAAAAAATTTGAATCCCACCCCTGCTGTCAGGATCATATACTGCATTTACTGTATAAGACATATTTTTTCCACCCCCAAAAGTGAGTGGAAATGTCTGCGCATCGTATACAGTGAATGTTGCCGAAGCCCCGCCCACCTGCCAGCTCCCACCCTTTGGCCTCTGCCTCCCAGCAAGTTGCCTCCTTGCAGCAAACAGAAAACAGCCTGTTTCAGTTTCACCTTCAGTACAGCCTGATTAGCACAAGCAGCTGATTGTCTGTTCGATTGGCCTCCTGACAATCAGCTGTTTCAGGCTGCAGGGATTGCCATTTCAGTGCCCCGTTTTCGGCCTCCATGTATCCCATTTTCCACCCATTCCGATCCCCACTGCCCGAAACATGGCATGTGGAGGCCAAAAACGGGGCGTGAGGAGGCTGAAAATGAGATGCAGAGGCCAAAAATAAGGCGCGCAGAGGCGGCAGTAGGCTATGGCAATCTCTTTTTTCCTGTTTCCTCCCCAAAAGCTAGGTGCATCTTATCCTTTGGAGCATCTTATACTCTGAAAAATATGGTATTCCCATTCAGCATTAATACAAAAATGCAAATACAAAAAAATGAACTTTTATTTGAATGGTAGCTTTATGAAATTGAACTTATAGTGGGAAAATGTTCTTGGAAATGAAAGGATAATGCTAATAAGATTATATAAAGGACGCTGTAATTCTACTCCTAATTATAAGCACTACTAGAATGGTAATCTATTAAGTGACATAAATTTCATCAGACTATTTATGGCATGTCCTTTTCACTGAAAACCATTTGTTTAAATGTACCTTACTAGGTCATGCTCATTAATAGTAAAATATAACTCAGTCTTTTTTTTGGCTGCTTAGATAAAAGATTTATCTTTTCCCACAAGTATATAAATTGGGGTGCTTCCTATAAACAGTGCTATAAGGAAACCACAATAGCTGAAGTTATAGACGTACCTCATTCCCATGCATATTACCAACATACTTGAACTCTGGTATGCCAATCTTATGCTGGGTTGGAGACCTTCCCAGAGCAAGAACCCAGAGGTCTCTACCTTTAAGTGGAAAAGAATTTTACACACACGTAGTATATGTATGCACATAGTTGTAAAATAATAACACATAAACAATGAAGAGCTAAAATAAACTGTCTTATCTTTAATTCATTTGTCATGGCATTGAATAAATGAGTTTTAAATGTAGGCAGTTATTCAGATGAATTAAAGCCTAATGTTTTTTTTCTTTTATTTAAACAAAAATATTTTAAATTAAATAAATATAAAATTTTTATTCATTCCTAAAACAATCCATTAATAATAACTAAATAATTTTACTGAAGAGAGCTAAGTTTAAAAATACATGAAGAAGAAATCTGCAAAAAAGAGATATAAACAAGGAGTCAGATCAATAAGGCTTAGTGAGAGACAACAGAGGACTGCAAAGGTTATATAATATACATCTATATTATAATATATGTCTAAATTAAAACAGAATAATTTTGTTTGAATACTTGGAAGCACTTAGAAGAACCATTTTCCCTGTGTAGCTGAAACAAATATTTAACTTGGGAAGACAAGTCCCTTTTAAAACATTTTTATTTTATTTTTATTTATTTTTTACATCCACCATTCATTTTACTTAAAATTCAAAATATTATTTGAAAGGATCCTGATGAATAATCATCCTTGACAGCAGTGCTTGACATTTGCTGAAAGGAAGATGTGCAAAATAATTCTCTAAACTGTTTTGGAGAAAAATAAAAGCATCATTTGGAAGAATTGAATGCCTGCAGTATTCAGGGAGCTAAAGTTTAACCTTCCCGTCCTATTTATAAACCTAGCAAAATCACTCATTTATACTCAGATAGCTATGAGCCCAGATCAATTAATTGCAAAGGAAACTATTTTCCTAAGTTTAAAAGAGGCAGACGGAAGGAGGGCGCCTATTTTGATGGATTTTAAACTGAGAAGGAAGAATTAAGCTTATTTTCTCTATGTAATGTAGTCTAAGTCAAAGTTATCACTCCAACTTTTGCTGTTGATGTCTTTGAAAAAAATAATGTCCTTTTTAATAATGTATAAGTTCCCAAGTATGTTCTTATAACAGATTGAACTAGACACTGGGCAACTCTGTATTATAGTCAGGCATGTAGTATAAATGTACCCAGTGTGATTAATTTAGAATGCTATATAAACAAGGTTAAATAAATCATAGTTAACTATGATTTCACAGCTTAACTTTCATTCCATTCTTAATTTTATGTCTGACTTCTTTTTTCCCTTCTCATTTAGCAGGGTTAAGAAACCTCAGGCAAAACAGGTAGAAGTTGTCAGGTAGCTCAGGAAGAAAAAGAAAGAAAATCAAGGAGAAATGACAGTCAGCACCAAGAAATGAAATAGAAATGTTTCCATTTCAGAGCAGCCCTAGACAGGTAATAAAATTTGTTGAAAAATATAGAAAAATAGAAAAAAATATAAACATTTAAGTAATCAGTGGACAATGAGCAGTATGCCTTAAGAAGCTGCTCATTCTAATGCTATCCTCTTTCCAAGCGGTTGTTCCCCCCCACCCGTATGTTGAATTAAAATTCCCATCTTTCCAAAGAGTTTGACACTGTTAGAGAAAACATGTCTAAATTGGAGGAGAGAATACAAAAGACTTCAGACCCAGAATACAAAAGTTTCCAAGCAAAATGCTCTAAAATGAGTTGTTATATTTTACGCAGTAAAATATTTTCACTGAAAATCTATTTTATAAAACATGGTAAGAATTATGCATTGTGAAACAAGACAGAGCAATAACTCCTTTGAGGCTTTGACTCGGTGGCGCAGTAGTTAGAATGCAGTACTAGAGGCTACTTCTGATCACTGGCTGCCAGCAGTTTGGCAGTTCAAATTTCACCAGGCTCAAGGCTTACTCAGCCTTCTATCCTTTACCAATGTTGGTAAAATGAGTACCCAGATTGATAGGTTCCGGTTCTGGTTGTGGGAGCGTGACAGCTGAAAGTTATGGGCTCCATGAAAATCAGCTGTTTTCTGCCGGCCTGAAAGCTCCTCAGGGCCAAGTGCCACCTTGAAGGGGCGGCCAAGCTGGAAGGGCTCCCGTAGATTGCAGGTGGATGGCAGCTCACCAAGTCTGATCCAGGTAAATCTTCTTGACAGATGGGTCCAACCAAAGATCTGATGGCCAGAATAAGCAAGCATGGAAAACAAGCGGAAAATTCACAGTGCACTGGATGGGGTAAGGAACGTACAATTTCTACCATGAACTAGACCAACCCCATTAAAATACTTGCTTGTAGAAGGGATACTCCAGGAAAAAGGAGGAGAGGGAATTATTACCTTGCCTCCCTCCAGAAACAACAAATGAAAGATCGGAGAGGAATACACATCTGTTGAAACGATAAGAGAAATGAGAGATAACTACTTCTAAATTGAGAGAAAGACTGGACTAGATTTAATTGAGTGTTACTTTTTGCTTTGACGAAAGGGATATGATGCTCTAGCTCAAAGGAGTATCTTTGATTGTTTAAACTTTCTCAGACTATGGCTTTCTTTTTTCCCTTTTCATTCCCTGTGGGCTATTCTATTTCCGGGCTTCTACCATAGAGTGGAAAGGAAAAAGAAGCAAGGTTGCCATCTACTCGTCAAAGTCGGAATATACCAAAAAGAATATTTTAAGCTGTGCAGACAGAAGAAAGGTATTGCTAGAATTATAACATCTGGTGTCAGAGACTCAACTAAGGACAGTATCCTGTTTCGAAAATTGGTGGGAAGTAAACAAGATTGGAAGTGCGATAGATACAAATACTATTGAATTCTGATGGACTATAAATAACCTAGATTAATTGACTTAAAATTAAATAATAATAATAAAAATAAAATAAAGTAGACTCTTATCTTACTGACATTTGGGAAATAGAGGGTGCTTTGGATTATAAATATGAAGAAAATATAAAAGACATAAAAAGAAGATACCTACCTGGCATGAGGAAAATATAATATTGGAGCTATTGTGGACCTTTTTTCTTTTCTTTTTTTCTTCTTGACTACAAAAACCAACTGATTCAGATTTGACTTTGAACTTCTGAACTATTAAGACTCTGAAAATGAAAAACAGACTGAAGCTGGCTTGAAGAGGAGTGGAAGGTGCTATACTACTCTTCTATTTTGGTTGGTTCTTTGATACGGGGACTATTTGGTGTTGGTACTATTGGGTATTGAAAGTGGGAAATATTGATTGTGTTGGTATACTTTAGGTGGTTAACTCTGGGCTGGCCTACGTTTTTAGTGGACAGTAGGCTTGGTGGGAATATCCATCTGCTAAAAACACTATTTGCTAAAATGTAAACCTTAAATGTAGCAAAAATAGGTAAGAAGATATCCTCCAATCCATCTTCAGTGTCCTCAAGCCCTTCGGACCAAAGATTGATTGAGAGTGTTTTACAGCTGGAGAAAACTAACTCATCCCAAAAGGAGGTATTAACGCTGTTACAGGCATTACAGGAATCTATGACTAAAAGTCACACAGAAATATAGGGGAAGTGAGAAACAATATGAAGAAAAAAAATCCAAAAGATGGATGAAAAACTCGAGAACCTGCAACAAACAATAATTAACAATGAGCAAAGAATCCAGAAAATGGAACAAAAAACAGAACAGGTAGATGATGATATAAATCACAAGCTGATACAAGCAAATAAAGAGCTAGAGAATACCATGATAATGTTAGAGACAGAGAAAGCAGACCACTACCTAAGGTTTCAAAATATAGAAGAGAAGAAGGGAGATCTACCAGAGTTAATGAAAGAACACTTGGCAAAAGTGCTAGGTACAGATAAACAGGAGATGGATATTGAAGTGGATGAAACATACTGATCTACACAAACTACACGAGAAGATATAACCTTCCTAGAGAAGTTCATGTAAGATTTGTAAAAAAAATAAATACGAGATGAGATCCTTAATAAGGCGAGAGAAGAACCACTAGAATATAAAGGGAAACAGCTGGTGGTTCTGAAACAAATCTCTAGAAGGGCTGTGAGGGTCACAAAGAAAACCCTCAAATAACAAAAAATAACTGAGCTATTCTAGCCTTTATCCGTTAAATTATTTGAGTGATATACATCAACGTGGTAAGTTCTATTTTCAAGCTTCTAGCCTGCAGTACCTTTCCCCCCCAATCCCCAAAACAAGCCATCTTATTTGTATATCTATTTCTCCTGCAGTTGAGTACTTGATTGAATATGTCCTGTTTTTATTACAGGGTTTTTTCAAACTGCAGGTAACACCTCCTCTGCAGTTGTAACATTGAATGGGGTATCACAAACTGCCTGGGCAAGGGGGACTGCTCAAGCAATATGTGATGCAAAAGGATGGAGTGAGTTCTGAAACATCAGTTTTTCCATGGTCAAGTAAAAGATCAGAGCACTGTGGAAGGGCCAAGCCTGAATGTATTATAACACCTGATTCTGGTTTTTTTGATAGATCAAGCAGATTATTTGTCCAAAGGAATGCTGAGGATAGTATATCAGTATTAGAATATCATGGAAACTTTGTTGAATCCTTGGCTTCAGCAAAACATTTAACAAAGTTACCCATGAGATTCTAATAGAAAAGATGTCAAAATATGGGCCAGATGTGCTGACCAGATGGACATAGAACTGACTGAACAAACATTCTACATGTCCTCTCTAGGCTCTGCTTAAAATTGTATGAACAGTTCACATTTGGAGTTAATATAGAAGTAGGGAGAATAATAATCACCTTAGGAGACAGTATCAAAGTTTAGGAAGACCTTATTAAACTGAAACACCAGGGACAAACCTAAAGGACTACATTTAGTTAGGAGAAATAAAAGGAATTATTCTGTATGGGGAGACCATACTGAGCAGAAGTACATTTGAAAAGAATCTGGTTATCTTGGTGAATAACAAGTTAAATGCAAACAGCTGCAAAAAAAAACCCAATATAATTTATTATTGTATTTATAATTTTTATTTTTTAAATTCCTTTCTTTTTTCTTTACTATTTAATTTTTATTTACTTTTTTCTTTGTTTACTTTATTATTTTTATAAATAACCCAAGGCAGAAACATACCTAACATTCTTCCTCCTATTTTCCTCACAACAATAAACCTGTAAAGTGAATTTGTCTCAAAAAGAGTGACTGGCATAACCACATTTGCCTGGGAATAGATATGGTTTCTCTCAGACTCACTGGCAGCTGTCTTAAATGAAAGATATTCTATTCCAAGCATGAGTCACACACTATACACTTTAGCTTGAAAAAAATGAGGTTACAAGAATTCCACCAACTGAATTATTTCAGTTAGAACCGTTCGCCAAAGTGATCAATACTGATCCTCTCAAGATCAATGGAACTATCCAAGGAGATTATAAAGGCTGGGGATCAAAAGAGAGTCAGAAATTGCTACGGGGATCAGTATGTAGTTTGATGAATACTTGAGGTTGACTGGAGTCAATTAATTTTTGGGAGTCTCTGTAGAACTTGTCTCTAGGCCTCAAGATGAAGAGCCTAGCAGCAAGGCAGGCTTAACCCAGGGCCTGATGATCAGCCATCAGTGAGAGGCCTTGAGTTGTCTCTATTATTGTTTTTGCTATTCGTAGCATTATTAGTTAAAGTAGCATTTATTACATTGTTTCTGTGTAATAAATATTTGTGAACTGATGAACAATCTGGAACTTCATGAAGGGGTCAGTGAGACAAAGAGCTTAGGGCCCCTGCTTTAGAACTAATATAGCTCCATGCACATTACAACGGAGTCTTTCTGATTCTCCTTCTAATAGTCTTCTGATGAACCAATGGGAAAGCAGGTGTCTACATAAGGGGAATTCTGCAGTAACTATACAATATGTATTCTGTGCATACAGGACAGTAACTGTCTCTTGAATTTCAATCAACTCTTACAACCACTTTAACAATTAAAAAAGAATGCTCTGCAAATGTTTGTACTTTCACAACAGTAGAGCCTTTCATAACAACACAAAACCAGTTAAACTCACTTTTTAATCATTTTGGTAATGTTCAGTTTAACTACTTTATCGCTATTCAAGGCTTTTAAAATGGTGAGATCAATCTGACACTTGATGAGTGAGTTTCAGGTTCAGATTTAATATTTTTTAAAAAGAGCTTCAATAACTTTAAATATAACTGGCTAAAAGCAAAAGAAATGGATTTTGATTTAAGAATGTTTTAAACAGATTGAGAGACAAGAGAAATTCAGAATATTGGGTATTTTTATGAAAGATTCAAAAAATTAATATATAAATAATATATTCATTGGAAACAAATGAAACAGAATTAAATCCATGTTAGGAATGACTTGATGAAGCCACAAATAGAATTTATTTATTTGATAACTTATTTATTTATTAAATTTATATGTCATCCACCTCACTATCAAATAATTCTCGGCAGTACATAAATATAAATAAACAGTAGAGGAAACCAAAGGGCCAGGCTGAGTATTTCTTAAAGAGTTTTTCTTACATTGGCTAGAATAATAATATCTCAGAAAGGATGCAGATTTCAGTGGATAAGGTTTTAAAAGACGAGAAAATCTTCAAAACCCTTTTTGTGACATAGACCTTTGAACGCATGGAAGACAACAAAATTGATATTATCCAAGTGGGTTTACAAAAGACAATTAAAAAAATATGGGAATATGGGAATTTTGAATGATGTCTCTTTATGGGGAGTAAAGGATCTGGAAGTGGGAATAGCTATGAAAAGAAAATCTGGGTGATGCCTCTTTATGGGATTTATAGAGTATCCCGGTGAAAGCTTTGAAGACTTTTTTTAAGAACCAAAAATGATGAAAGACCAAATCTTACAATCCCCTATAAGGAGGATTTAAAAGTCAAGATTGTACAGAGCAAAAATATGGGCTATAAAGTTGGACTATTAGAGACAAACTATTGGTTTGATATTTCTGACAACTCCTAATGAACTAGGATTATTTTTCTTTTAGTTTATTTTTATTAGTTTTAATTATGTTTAGGATTACATTGTATTAATGTTTAATAGAATATAAACCCCAATCTTAAATTTATTAACTTCAATCAAAGAAAAAAACTAATCTTGCATAAATTATTTATTGAAAATAGCATTGATGATTTCATTTCATCCTATTTATTTATTTATTTATTTTATTTTGTCAAGAGATTATAAAATAACAGGTTTAAGTATAAACATAATTATGAATACATGAAATGGATACATATAAGAAAAATAAAAAGAAACAATATGACAGGGATGGTAGGCACATTGGTGAGCTTATGCACGCTCCCTACAGACCTCTTAGGAAAGGGGTGAAGTCAATAGTAGAAAGTCTAAGGTTAAAGTTTTGAGGGTTTGGGGAAGAAACCACAGAGTCAGATAGAGTATTCCAGACATTGACCACTCTGTTGCTGAAGTTGTATTTCCTGCAATCAAGTTTGGTGCGATTTACCTTGAGTTTATATCTATTGTGTGCTCTTGTATTGTTATGGTTGAAGTTGAAGTATTCATTGACAGGTAGGACATTGTAATGTACGATTTTATATACTATAGTTAGATCGGACCAAAGTCGGCGTAGTTCTAGGTTTTCTAGGTCTAGAATTTCAAGTCTGATGGCATAAGGTATTCTGTAACGATTAGAGGAATGAAGAACTATATTTCTGGACTTTCTCAACTGTGTTAATATCAAATACGTAATGCAGGTTCCAGACTGATGAGCTGTATTCAAGTATTGGTCTAGCAAATGTTTTGTATGCTCTAGTTAGTGTAATATTACCAGAGAAAAAGCTATGTAAGATTATGTTAACTACTCTTAATGCTTTTTTGGCTATGTAGTTACAGTGGGCTCTAGCACTTAGATCATTAGAGATAAGTACTCCAAAGTCCTTGACAGAGTTTGGATCATCAACAAGGTCTTGACTATTCATCTTGTATTTTATTTTCTGATATTTATATATAATTTTTTTGCCAATATGTAAGACAGAGCTCAGTGGTTAAACTAACTCACCAAAATTTATATGCATTTATTTCCTTTTTAACAGGAGAGAGAGATGAAGAAAAAAAAGCTGGGAAGACTTGGATTACTTATGACAGGGTGATGTGGTGGCCCTTATAAAATGTTTAAAAAGTAACAGCAGTCTTCTTTCCCTGAAGTGGAGATAGCCCTTTTCAAACTCACACACCCTCAAGCTAGATGAGGACAGTCCCCCACATAACTCTTAGGTCTTCAGGAGTAACTAGAGTGGGTAGGAAGTGTAGTTCAACTCGTCTGGGGTGGCTGCCCAATGGTTTCAGTAACACTGTATTCCAAGCAAAGGTACTTAGGCCAGACATCTGGGTGATATCTCTTTTTTTCTTTCTTTTGCAAATGCTAAATTCTACTCTGGGCAAACCGGCTGAAAAAGCATAAGATCCCCGCTCCACCCAGCCTTACCTTGTACTGACTTGCCAATACTGTACAAGTGAGTGATGGCAGGGTAATTCTTCTGCACTTCCTTCAGAAAAGCTTCCAACTCCTTGGTGTGATGGTAGCGGAAATCCAAGCTGGATACCAAAGGCAGCAGAAGAAGCAGGGAGAGGATGCCCATCTCCTACTCGAAAGAAGCAAAATAAGGAAATAAGCGCGAGGGGAGGAGAGCACCAACGAGATCCGCCTTAAAGAATTTAAGTCGAGCGAATAAAGCGCCCAGCATGCAGCTATAGCGGCCTCAGGACTGGCAGAAGGGGTATGGGGGGCAAGTTTTGCCAGGCGCTGCCTTATTGTTACCGAAGTGACGGCAGCCAACCACCCTCTCAGAGGTAGCCGCCAAATCCGCTGCTACTCCAGACATATGCTGCCTGAGCCGAACCGCAAGGCGAAGAGCCAGGAGGAGAGAGGCGGGACCTTAGCTACACAGGAGGTGCCCAATCCAGTGAGAAGAGACTGATTTGCTCGGGCAGCCCTCCCCTGTTCTCCACCACGGCCTCCCCGCGCCGAGAGTCCCGACACAGCAGCCAAAGAGCGCGCGAAGCAAGCGGCTCGATTTACGCGAATTCTTTTGGCCTGATGCCAAAGATGATTGCGGAGCAGGCCGGTTTCCGGGACTGAGGCACACGCTCACGAAGTATTTCTGAATATTGCTCCGTATTCCGACGAGGGCTCTTCAAATCCTGCTGCTGTCAAATCCAATTTACCCCCATTCGTTCCTTTCCTCTCTTTTGCGATAGCAGCAGTGAAATTCAATATTAGAAGAGGGAGAGGAGGAAACTACCCTAGCATAAGCGCACCAACGTGCCTACCGTCCCTGTCCTATTGTTTCTTTTATTTTTCTTTTATTTTTCTTATATGTACCCATTTCATGTATTCATAACTATGTATACACTTATACTTATTATCTTGTAAACAATTGACAAATCAAATAAAATAAATAGTATTGTGTATTGGACGCTGGTCATTCAGATGCATTCTGAAGCAACAGTGATGTGCCACATTTGCCTTCAACAAGTGAAAAGGATTATAGGTCTATTTCTAGTGTATAAAACACAGGACACCCTTGACAACTTTTTTTTTTTGCCATATCCTTAAGGCACTGCCTTCATCTCACCTGTAATTTATAACAAGGCAGCCTTAAGTCGTTCAGTTGTCCAAATTTTATATATAATAATGGAAATTGCACAATAAAAAAATAATACCAAAAAAAGTCAGTAGTGCTCAAGGCGTTATTGAGGAACTGCTTAGAATCTTTCAGAGTGCTGATGGTATTTGTGACACAACTAGAATAAAGCCCTTCAGACATCTATTTGCTGAAGTTGCCATTTGGGAAAAGGAAATCCCAAGCTGCAAAAACAATTACAATGGGAACATTTAATTTTATTTATCTATCAATCAAATTTCTAGCTACCCATCACACTTCTATGAATGCGGGAAACATGTACATAGGAATACTTGACACAGTGAAAGATAAAACAAATTGATTCCATGCTGATATCTTAGTAAATGAAATGGACTAAAACTGGACACATACACACACAGCAAAAATGAAGAAAAGATATAACAAAAATAGTATTTTGGGTATAATGCCACCAACGATCAAGTAATATCAATTAAACTTCGTGAACAGCCAATTGATATAACAATTATCCAAAATTATGTTCCAACCGCCAGTGCAGAAGTAGAGAAGGTTGACAAGTTTTATGATCAACTTCAATCTAAAATTGACAGAAAGCACAAGCAAGATGTGGCTTGTAATAGGAAATTAGAATGCTAAAGTTGGAAATAGTAAAATATAATTGGATTATACAGTCTACGAAACAGAAACGAGGCAGGAGAATGACTCATTGCTAGCACTATCTTCAAACAACCAAAACAACATTTATATAAAAGCAGGGGGTGCGATTCAACCGGTGTAACAACCAGTTTGGTGAGTACACGTGCAGAGTGTTTGCTACTGAACTTCTCCAGCAATCTCTATGTGTTAAACAGCCGACGCTTGGCACTCTGCTGTGCTGCGCAAATCAGCTGAGCTTGAAAACCAGAATATAAAGCACAGATTAGAGCCAGGGCAGGCGGGTGGGCCCAACAGCTGATCATCGGAGCGAACCAGTTCACTCACAGCTGATCCCCGGAGCTACCGGTTTGCCCGAACTGGGCCAAACCAGTAGAATCCCACCCCTGTATAAAAAGATATCTCCCTGTCCCCCTTATTACTGGTAAAGGAGATAGAAGAGTTCAGTTACAATAGGAAAGCATGACCAGGAGATCAGTATAGATGCATATCACAAACACTCATGTGTAAGTTCCAAGTCAAGTTAAAGCAGGATAAAGCCAACCAGTTTCCACAATGTGATCTTTATGTACACCCATCATTTTCAAGGAGAATCCTGAGTAATCACTTTGAAGTCCTGGATCTCACTGATAGGAGGAGGAAAAGAGGAACTGTAGAATGAGATCAAAAGAGTTGTTAAAAATGAATATGAAAAGAGAAAACAGAGAACAAGAAACGGAAGAAAGCAAATTGGATGTCAGGACATAATGGAATTTGCCAATATTAGATTAGATTAACAGAGTTGGAAGGGACCTTGTAGGCTATCTAGTCCAATCCTCCACCCAAGCAGGGGACCCTACACTATTTCTGACAAATGGCAATCCAATCTCTTCTTGAAAGCCTCCAGTGATGAAGCTCCTACAGCTTTTGAAGGCAAGCTATGAGATACCAAAGCCAAGAGGGAGAAAGATCCAGAAAAGGAAGCTAACAGCAAAGAATGGTAGAAAGAGACAGGAAGAAGGATTACAATGTTGTCTATAAAGTCATCAAAGATAGAAAGGTAACAAGGAAATCATCATTTTATTTATTTCTCACCTTTATTGTTTTTATAACTAATTCAAGGTAGTGAACGTAACTAACACTTCTTCTTTCTCCTATTTTCCACACAATAACAACAATCCTGCGAGGCTTAGGTACAAGTCACTCAGCCTGCTTTCATATCTAAGGCGGGACTAGAACTCAATCTTAGTGCTGGAGAAGGAAATGGCAATCCATTCCAGTATCTTTGCCATGAAAACCCCATGGACAGTACCAAAAGGCAAAAAGATATGACGCTAGAAGATGAGCCCCCCCAGGTCAGAAGGTGTCTAATATGCTACTGGGGAAGAGCAGAGGGCTAATACTAGTAGCATCAGAAAGAGTGAAGAGACTGGGTCAAAGCCGAAAGGACACTCAGCTGTAGATGCATCTGGTGGTGAAAGGAAAGTCCGATGCTGTAAAGATCTGTACTCCATAGGAATCTGGAATATAAGATCCATGAATCGAGGCAAGCTGGACGTGGTCAAACAAGAGATGACAAGACTGAACATCGACATCTTGGCAATCAGCGGACTAAAATGGACAGAAATGGGTGAACTGAATTCAGATGACCATCAGATATACTACTGTGGGCAAGAATCCCTCAGAAAAACTGGAGTAGCCTTCATAGTCAATAAAAAAAGTAGGAAAAGCAGTCCTGGGATACAATCCCCAAAATGAGAGAACGATCTCACTTCGAATCCAAGGCAAACCTCACATTACAGTAATCCAAGTCTATGCCCCAATCACTGGTGCTGAAGAGGATGAAGTTGACTGGTTCTATGAAGCCCTACAACACCTTCAAAATGATGTCCTTATCATCATGAGGTATTGGAATGCTAAAGTAGGAAGACAAAAGATATTTGTAATAACAGGCAAGTTTGGCCTTGGAGTACAAAATGAAGAAGGGCACAGGCTGATAGAATTTTGTCAAGAGAATACGATGGTTATAGCAAACACTCTTTTCCAACAACCCAAGAGACAACTCTACACCTGGACATCACCAGATGGTCAACACAGGAATCAGATTGACTATGTGCTCTGCAGCCAAAATGGAGAAACTCTATACCTGTGATGGTGAACCTGTGTGCCGGAAGTGGCATGCAGAGCCATCTGCCAGCATGCAAGCCATTGCCCCAGTGGTTTCACTGCACATGCGCCAGATGATTGTTGGGTATCTGCCGTGCATGCGTTGCCTGGGATGCATGCGGGAGACACACATGCATGCACAGGGGGCAGGGGGAGTGCAAGGGGGTTGTGTGCGCATGCACGGGGGGGTAGGAGAGCACAGGGGGTGCACACATGCACAGGGGGATGGGGGTATGCAGGAGGTTGTGTGCACATGCGCAGGGGGCGGGCAAGCACAGGGGAGTCACACATGCATTGCATTATGGGTGAAGGCATGCATGCGCATGCACACATACTTTCGGCACACAACAATGAAAAGGTTAGCTATCACTGTTATATAGTCAGTAAAAACAAGACCAGGAGCTGATTGTGGCTCGGATTATGAGTTTCTCATTGCAAAATTTAGGCTTAAATTGAAGAAAGTAGGGAAAAACACTCGGCCAGTTAGGTATGAACTAAATCATATTCCTAATAAATATCCAATAGAGGTGACAAATAGATTTAAGGAATTAGATCTGATAGAAAGAGTGCTGAAGAACTATGGAAGGAAGTTCGCAACATTGTACAAGAAGTAGCAACTAAAACCATCCCAAAGAACAAGAAATGCAAGAAAACAAAATGGCTGTCTGAGGAAGCTAAGGAAAGAAGGCAAGGGAGAGGCAAGGGAGAAACAGAAAGATATACCCAGTTGAATGCAGAGAATAGCTAGAAGAAATAAGAATGCCTTCTTAAATGAACAGTGCAAAGAAGTAGAAGAAAATAATAGAATATGGAGGACCAGAGATCTCTTCAAGAAAATTGGAGATATGACGGGAACGTTTCATGAAGATGGGCATGATAGAGGACCAAAGTGGCAGGGACCTAACACAGGTAGAAGAGATTACGAAGAGATGGCAAAATTACACAGAACTATACAAGAATGAGCTTAATGTCCCTGATAACCATGATGGGATGGTCACTGACCTCAAGCCAGACATCCTGTAAAGTGAAGTCTGAGCAACAAAAAAGCTAGTGGAGGTGACAGTATTCCAGCTGAGCTATTCAAAATCTTAAAAAGATGATGCAGTAAAAGTGCTACACTCAATATGCCAGCAAATTTGGAAAGCTCAACAGTGGCCACAGGATTGGAAAAGGTCAGTTTACATTCCAATTCCAAAGAAGGACAATGCCAAAGAATGTTCAAACTACCACACCATTCTTCTCATTTCACATGCTACCAAAGTTTTGCTCAAAATTCTACAAGGTAGGTTCCAGCAGTATGTGGACCGAGAACTACCAGAAGTACAGGTAGGATTTTGAAGAGGCAGAGGAACTAGTGATCAAATTGCCAACATTCACTGGATCACGGAGAAAGCTAGGGAGTTCCAGAAAAACATTTACTTCTGCTTCATTGACAATGCTAAAGTCTTTGTTGGATCACAAAAAATTGTGGCAAGTTCTTAAAAAGATGGGAG